GGAACCATTTGTATACTTTACTCTTAATTTTAATAAAAATTAATTTTAAATATGCGTGCAAAATTTGAAAATTTATAATAAAAGGTGAATTTTGACATTTACATATAATTTATAACTAAATTCTAATAAATATTTTTACATGTGTGATAAAATCTAATTTATTATAAAACATTTGATATGTAAATATAAGGCTTAATACCAAAATAAGTGTTCAAACTATACATAAATTCTTAAATAGGTGTATAAACTATTTTTTACCATCCAGGTGCCTAATGTTATAAATGTTACTATTTTTTGTGTTCGGGCCATCAACGACGTTAATTTCCCTGTTAAGTGTCATGTGTCACAATATGATGATTTTAAAATTTTTTATTTAAAATAAAAAAATTAAAGTAATATATATTTTAAAGAAAAACATAAATATATTGAAATAACCCCAAAACTTTAAAAACCTTCATTTCAACCCCTAGACTCGCGTCGGTTGTTGCCCTTTGCTATCAACGAAGCTCCACCCAATTTCACATCCCCCGACGATCAAAACCCCTATGAAATCGTGACTGATCGATGGTGAATCGACGTTTTATACCCCATGAACCCTAGGATGAAAATCGATATCCTACGTGATCTCGACAACCAATCGATGCCAACTACGACGTCGTATGACTAGTAGGATGACAGGGACTTCATCGGCGACAGTGATCGTGGCCGGAAAGGGTGGCAGTGACAGGTTAAGGATAAGATTTGAGGATTTTTGGGATTTTTGGTTTTTTTATAATTTAAGAGAAATTAGGGTTTTTATAAATATAATAATATTTTAAAAAAAGTAAATTTCAAAAATGACCAAATTGTGACACCTGTCACTTAACGAGAAAAATTAACATCGTTGACGGCACTTGTATGGGTAAAAAATAGTTTAGACACCTATTAAAAAATTTAAGTATAGTTTGGGCACTTGTTTTGGTATTAAGAATAAATATAATCTAATAAGACTAAATACATCAACATTATCGTTAATTTTTTAACGATAGATGACTAAAATAAAATCAAAACAAAACGTTAGTAATGATTTTAGAAAAATAATTGTGTGACTAAAACGAAATGAATATAATAGTTAGGTGACTACATAAGTGACTTATCGTATATATATATATAATTAGATTTTATATTTATATTGAATTATGATTTAATTGTTTTATATATATATATATATTCACTTACGCAAAGTAAAATTCTTTAATTTTTCACAGATTTATAACAGTTATTGATAAGACTGACGACTATCGGCGTAGATATTTCACCAAATCAATGTCAGTTTGATGTCTTGTGTACAAAATTTTTTATTAAAAAGTTACCAACTTAAATCAGATGTACCACATAAATTAATTCAGATTAACAAAGACGAAGTTGTAGGAAGTTGGGACGCAACTAAAGAAATAGGAGCATATTAGCCTCCTAAGAATTGTTATGATTCCGGTGCACAAACTGCCATCACTGGTGATAATACTGAAACAAACATCGTTTTCACTATGTGTTACTAGGGACGAGGACTCGAATTCGACGGGTTTTTATTTGATTTGATGGGTTTTGATTTGATTTGATTTGATTTGATCTGGTAAGATCGAGTTTTTTTTTTAATTTCGGGTTTGGGTTGAGTTCGGATTTAGGGTGAAAAATATCCGATCCGACCTGAAAAAAATATATAATTTTACTTTATATATTTAAGAATAATTACAATAATACCCCTCTATATATAATTTTTTTTAATTAAGTTATTATTTTTATTAAATAAAAATAATATTTTTTTATTATTTCGGGTCAGATTGGGTCGAGTTTCTAAATTATATATCGGGTCGGATATGAGTCGGGTGAAATCTAATTTTGGTCGGGTCGAGTCTCGGATGGAAGATTCCTAGGCCTCAGGTCGGGTGGACCAAAAACTCAATCAAACCCGACCCATGCCTATCCTTATGTGTTACATCAGAGTAAATCTCCTTTTTCTCATATATATTTTTTCTGTTGAAAACACCATTCATTACAGTAAGTGATTCGACAGGGAATTACAAATAATATTTTATCTAGTTAAATAAATAAATAAAATTTAAGATCATTATGATTTTTCCAGAGAAATTCAAGATTATGATGATGCCTTCTATTTCAAATGAAATCACATATTATGACTTAGTGAAGTACTTTTATTATGACAAGATTAAATTTAGGATTAAAGTTAGAATTTCTCAAAAGAAAGTTATTTTGGTGTTTATTCATATTCATTAAAGATATAATTTCTCTTTTGATTTATTAAGTGTGAGTACGTGATTTTGTGTTTAGGGTTTAATTTTTAAAATTTTAAAATTTTAGAAGGTGATAAATTTATAAAATTATAGTCACTAATTTTAAATTTTATCACGAAAGCTTCTCTCATGATGATTTACCGCATGATTTGATGATGCTTTGGTAATGTCGGTTCGCGTCAAAAAAGATATGGGTAAACCATGTGAATAGTCTCCTTTTTTTTTATTTGTCCAATTTTAGTCACTAATTTAAAAATTAAAGATACATAGTCCCTAACGTTATCAATATATTCGGTTTTAGTCCCTCGCTATAAACTCCCGTTAATCCTTTAACGGAAGTATTATGTTAATCCGTTAATTTAAAAAAAATATAAAAATTAAAAAAGTTATGATCATATACAGTACAATACAATACATACATACATGCATACATACATACATATACATGTATGTATGTATGTATAACAATTCATTCATGTGTGATTTTTGATAAAACAATACATATATATTTCTTTTATATGTGATATACATATATCATACAAAATTGAGGTGTTCGACTGGAACTTGAAAATTCATCTACTAATTATTAAAATTTTGAGTTATTCGAGTTGTATTTTACAACTCGATTTGAACTTAATTGTTTTTGACTGAGTCGAGTTTTGCTCACCCCAAAGTAGGTGGCATTATAGAAGAAAAAGAAGAATAAGAAGAAGAAAACACTTGAATTTTTGGAATTTTTAATAAATTTTTATTCCGTGTCACTTGTAGCTAGTGAATTATGTAGATTTATTTTTTATTTTTTAATTGTCACATAATACTTCCGTCAAAGGGTTAACGGGAGTTAACGGATGAATTCAAGTTGGGTGCAATAATGAAACTAAAGAGTAAAAACGGAACTTTTATAAACCTGGAATGGAGTGTGTTAGCTTTTTTTACATTTTAATTAGAATACTATTTAAAATGTTATTTTTTTTTACCAAAAATGTTAATTTGCTACCTAAAATGAATATTTTTTATATTAACATTTTCGGTAAAAAAATAATATTTTAGGTAACGGCTGATATTAATATTTCCGATAGAAAAAAATAATATTTTAGGTAACGGTTGATATTAATATTTCCGATAGAAAAAATAATATTTTAGGTAGCGCTCTACCGAAATATTAAAAAAAATATTAACATTTCTGATAACGCATTTTCTTAGCTTTATATTAGGTTGTCTTTCCTTAGACATCCAATTTTCTTAGAGTGTTAGAAACGATAGAGAATTTGGCCCGTAAGGATTATCTCTGGTTAATGATTACATAGTTAAATCCGATTATATTTATATCTTATATGGTAAATGTAATGTTAGATCAACCGATTAATGCGTCGTAACAACATCCTGTCACTCATGTTAATAATTATTAACGATGAATGATCAATTTATTATATAAATAAATAATATAAAATTTTAATATAAAAATAAATGTATAAATTATATTTAAAATTGATTTTTGGTGTCTAAATTTTTTTCCCGTTAAAAGTAGGTGTTTAATATTTTTTCCATTACACTTTTAGATGTCTACCGTTAAAAAAATCCGTTAAATGACACGTGACATTCAATTTTTTTAAAATAACAATTTTTTAAAATAATATTTTATTTTTAGAAAAATTAAAAATATATATAAATGTGACATGTATCACTTAACATGATTTTTTAATGGCAAACACCTAAAAGTGTAACAGAAAAAATATTATACACTTATTTTTAACTAGGGATGGTCAAAATACCCAAATACGACAAGTCTCGACCTGACCCTATTGGAATAGTTTTTTTTCTGTTTTGAAATTTCGGGTCTCAAGGGTGGCTATGTAGTATATAACTTCAAGGTGAGCCGGAGCCAAGTTTAAGATGATAAATCACCGACTCGATCGACCTCGCTACATATATATATATATATATATTTATTTAATATTTTAATAATTTTTGTTTTTATATTATTAAAATATATTATTTAATTATTAAAAATATAAAAAATATTATAAAATATACTAATTTAACTGTTTAAAATATAATAAATAATTATAAATATATTATTATAAAATATATTATTTTAATTATTTTAAAATATTAATATATTAAGATCGGGTCGGGATTGGGGTTTTGACCTAAAAATTTGGACGAGTTTCGGGACATAAAAAACCTAAAATTCATCGGGGCGGGATCGAGTTTTAGGTATATATTTTCGGGTCGGGTCGGGTCCGGCACAGCCAAAAAATTGACCCGCCCCTCCCCGTGCCCATCCCTATTTTTAACGAAAAAAATCCTTAGACACCAAAAATCAATTTTGGGTATAGTTTAGAAACTTATTTTTATATTAAGCCTAATGTTATGGACCAATTCGTTATTTATAGAACTTGAGTGGAGAAAACAAAAATGTACTTAAAATTTAGTGATCATTTATATAGTTTATCAGAAAAGAAAGCGACGACTATTATCTGCCTTTCACTCTAGAAGAAACAGTTTCCCACACGCGTCCCCAAGAGAACCATAGTAAGAGACGGCAAGCAATTAGGTGGCTTCATTGGACGGTCCAAGTCCAACCCACGTGGTTTATTCACTAATCGCCGAATTTGAGTTCAAATCGGTTCAACTCTTTAAGGTTGAATCACATTTAGAATAGAAAAATTAAGTTCAAATTAAGATAAAAAAACTCAATCTTTTGGGAGGGAGAGAGCAAGGAAATGGCTATTTCAACTAGGTGCTGCCTCAACGTCTACCCTCCAACCCCAAACCCTGGCTCAGACAACCCTTCTCTTAACCCCAAGGGACCCCAGGTTGCATGGTAAGTCAAAATATGAATTTGGGGTTCACCAGTTTTCTCCTATGCACGATTTGGTACTCACGAGTTTTGTGGAATTCATTTTAGGCCGAGGGACGATAAATGGCGAAAGCAATGCGCATTAGGGTTGGCCTGCATGGTGGTCGGGTTACAAGTTGGCAACGTGAATACGGACGGCGCCGTCGCTAGTGAAATTCCGTCGCTCGCCGTGGAATCAAACTCGAGGGTAACGAGGTGGAGTGACAGAAGGATGTGCCCTTCATGGCAGGCGAATTCCCTAGAGACGATCGTGCCGGAGAATCTCCCGAGACCATCGGCTCATCGGAGATGGGAGGCTGTTGGCTTCTCTGAAAATGCACCGGCGATAAAAGTGATAGTAGCTAGGAAAACAATAGCCGGCTGCTTCTCTATGTGATTTCCGCATTGTTGTATAGATTAAACAGCGGATGACATACTGAAAATTTTAAATTCTTATATAATTTAGATATTTTTATAAAATAATTTATGTATATGTTCTTGAAATCAATATTTATAGATTGTAACATTAATGATGGAAAATGATTAATTTTGTATGAATGTTTTGAATGGTTGTAGTACTCGATTGGTGTTATTTGAGCTAGGTGTAGTAGTACACATGCAGTACAAATTGAACGAATATCTAATTATAGGATAAACTATGTGTTTAATATATAAATTATCAGTTTTGATATGTTTTAGTATTTAAACTTTCAATTTTTTTAAAATCATACTTAAAATTTTTTGTTTCATTCTAGTTCCCAGTTCAAAAATTAACATTAAGTTTTGGAAAATTTTAAAGTTTAGATACTTCAACGGATCAAAATTGATAGTTTCGAAACTAAAATAGTGGATCCTAAAATGAAATTAAAATTAAACATTAGATATAATTTTGAAAAAATTAAAAATTTAGATACTAAAATAGATTAAAAGTAATAGTTTAGATATAGTCTACCCCTAATTATATATGGAGGAGCCCTTGTGGACCACATATTCTTTATTTCTTTGGGCAATACCTAGATATTTCAATCTACTTTTAGCTTGGGAAAAAGTGCAAAAAATTGACCGTGAACAATATTTTTTTTTGGTTAAAATTAATCATTCTATATTTTTACATTTTATTTACAATTTTTTGAATAATTCGAATATATTATATATATATATATATATATATATATATATTATATGTATAGTCAAATAATTTTATAGACTTTTTATGACCCATCATCCTAATTAAATCTAGGGTCCAATACATTAAATATCTATAAACTATATTTTTTAAGGAAAATATAATTTATATTAACCATAAATAACATCATTTAGAACAATATCAGAGATGACATTTGGGTATTCAGAATCGAAAATCAAAGTATTGTGATTGGAAGAAGCCTACTGAGCAAGGCCAATATAAAATAATTCTATGATCAGACTTTCAAAAATTATAGAATAATTATTACTTTTTTTAAACAATAATAAAATGACAATTATAACCTTAACAGTTGTTAAAGGGTGACCTAATATGATAAGTTAATGATTTATATCTCTTTTGGCCCCTTAATGTTTTGTTAAATCTATAAACAAGTTCACATGAGCATGGCATATCACATAAGAACATGTAGAAGTACTTGAATTTGTTGGATGATGAGTCAATGACACCAAATTAAAGGATTAAGTTTGGACTATCCAAACATTTTAAATATCGGTGAAGGTGTAAACTAAACTGAGTACATGGTACAAGTTGAAATTTAAATTATGAATTTTAAGGAGTTTAAGTACTAGTAGCGTAATTTTACCATTTTTCTTTAACTAAAATTAAACATTTAAACGTACAGTAAATGATCATGTTCGTGAACACTAAATGAGCACATTCCCGAACATGTAAACGAAAATGTTCACGAAAATTAAACAAACATGTTGGCGAATAATAAATAAATGAACACGAACGCCTTAAAAAATAATAAACACAATATTAAAATTTAAACGAACCTAAACACATTAAAAAATAATAAACACAAATTAAAATTTAAACGAACCTAAACACATTAAAAAATAAACAAGCGAACTGGGAGCGGGAGGATCATCCTCTTAATGGGATTCTGCAATACTCGGAATCAACAGATTAAGGGTCTGTTTGTTTCCCGTAATTCGAATTACGGAATTGGTTTTCCCCGAATTCCAGTGTTTGTTTCACGTAATTCGTTTTCCGGAAAATGTTTTCCCGTGTTTGTTTCACGTAATTCATTTTCCGGAAAACGTTTTCCCGTGTTTGTTTCACGTAATTCGTTTTCCGGAATGTAATTCATTTTCCTAGTAACAGAATTTCCTTTGTGTTTTCTGTAAAATGACTTACGGATTCATTTTCCGTAAGTCATTTTCCGAACTTTTCACTTCAAAGCAAAAATACTCAAATATTTTTATTTTATGAATTTAATTAATAAAATTTTTAATATCATTTTCATCAAAATATTAATTATTAAAATAATTTTATTAAATTTATAATAAATAATATTATTTTTAATATTATATAAAATAATCAATTTATTATATAATATAAGATTATATTTTTTTTTTTAATATATAATTTTTTATATATTTAATATGAATATTTATTATATATTTCAATAATTTTAGTAAAGATATTAAAATATACTAATTATTTTAAAAATTAATATAGTACTATTACTTTAATATAATTAAATATATTTATAAAATTTTATTTCACTAAAATATACCGAAAAAATGTTTAAATAACATCTTCCAAACATCATAAAACGTTTTCCAGATGTTTTCTAGAAATGTAATTCATTTTCCAGAAATGTAATTCATTTTCCAGAATTCAAATTCCAGTAATTCATTTTCCAGTAATTCAAATTCCAGTAATTCAAATTCCAGTAATTCATTTTCTGGAAAACCAATTACAGCTAAACAAACAGACCCTAAATATACTTCTCAAATCAAAATTTTCAAATAAAAATCAAGCGCCATATGCATTCACTTCGGACCCTCCATCTTGAACATCAATCTTTTCTATAATGGTGTCTTCAACATCCCAGCATGTGTTGTGTAAAAAATGGTCTTTCATGAACTTCTCAAAGGATCTCGATAGTAATAGTAAAAAGAAATATTATTCTCCCTGAAGAATCCGAGTTCGGACAGCTGTAAATGAAAGGTATATGTACATTAAGAAGAAGGTAAGAAAATTTTGGACACATACTAACTTGTAATCACTAAGACGCTTCCACAAATTTCGATGAATTTCCCCCGAAGATGATTGAAGCCATCTAACACCAATTGCACCAAAGTTCTCTTGAAGCCTGCTCCTTTCTTGTTGTTCCTTTGCTCATAGGCCTTAACCATTCATACTTGTTTCTTTAGCTCTTTTCTTGATAATCTCAATCAACTGGCCTGCTCTCGATACAGCATTTCCGGATAAAGTTCGATGCTTAACGAGTTCTCTCGGATCATTACATGTTTTCAGCATATCATAAATCGCTTCAGCTTTCCTCATTATCAACGTCCTCCTCGTTCGTGATGAGTCCTCCTCTCCGACATATGTATTGGGCAGTTTTTTGGAAGAATGGACATACCTCATCATGTCACATTGTTTCCTAGCCATCTCAGTCATTCCCCTTTTCTTTAACTCATTGTTCATTCTCTCAAAAGTGAGGTATTGTGGAACTATACCTCTTCGTATCATGTCCTCGAACTCTCCGAAAGCATCTTCGAACCTATGCATTTTGCAGAGCAAATGAACCAGCATGGTGCTCGAAGCCAAGTCCCGATCGAATCCCTTCACCGTCATTTCTTTGCTAACCTGAACGGCCAAATCCAACCTCTCCGCCTCGCACAGCAGCTTCAACAATAGCTGGTAGGTAAGCCGATCAGGAGCGTGACCAGACTGAACAATCTTTGTATAAAGGTTCATCGCTTCCTCGGTTTTCCTGAATTTTGAGAAGTATCTAAAGAAATAATTGTAGGTCGTAATAGTTGGGATGCAACCCCTGCTGATCATCATCTTAAGTACCTTACTAGCCCCTGCTAAATCTTTGGCCTTGCAATGACCTTTAACCAGAGAATTATATGTCGAAATATCAGGCCCCGATTCACACGATAAAACTCATTCCATCATCCCTAATGCCTCCTTTAATCTTCCTGCTTCTCCAAGTGAATCGATAATCGGATTGTACACTTTCGCATTCAGCTCCATTCCCACTTCCTTCATTTCGTCCACCAATTCCACCGCCCTCTCAACACGACGCATAGTACAATATCCTTCTATAAGGGTACCATATGTTACGACACTAGGCAGCACACCATTCTTTTTCATATTCGACCAAAGTCTCTCGGCATGCTTGAGCTTTCCAGACCGGAACCATCCGTTCAATAGTATATTGTAAACTTTGATTGATGGAACCCAACACAGATCTGTCTGCTTTTTTCTAGTGAAATATTCTGATGCCACCCTAACATGCCCTTCCTTACATACAGAGTCCAACATTGTTTCGAAAAGATTAGTTTTCTCATCAGAACTGCAAATTTGATCTAAACTGCTTGCGAATTCAAATGTACGGATAGCAGCCTGAGCCATACCTGCATGATTGAATGCCTGCATAAACATCACTAGAACCAAAAGAAAACTAAACATTCAACCTTTGCCACTTACACTGCGAACCAATTTAATATCATGCAGCTAGATGTATAAATGGTTCAAGATAAGCAAGTGAGCACTGTGAGTAGGGTGTAAATGAACCGAGCTTGAACGAACAAGACTGTGTTTGTGTTCGTTTGTTTATTTTTAAATGTGTTCATGTGGTTTAAATTTTTAATATCGTGTTCGTTTATTTATTTTTGAAGGTGTTCGTGTTTGTTCGTTTAGAGTTCACGAGCATGTTCGTTTATAATTCGCAAGCATCTTCATGAACACAAACAAACGAGCTCGAGCTCATACATGAGCTTGTTCATGAACATAAACGAACCGAACACAATTTGTTCATTTATTAAATGAACATAAAAGTTTTGTTCATACTCATTTATTTAGCTTTATAAACAAAAGTTATATGAACAGTTCATCGAATGCTTTGTTCATTACACCCCTAACAGTAAGTTGACAAGCATGCCATAATACAAAAGGTGGAGCCATAATAAAAACTCCAAAACAGGAATAAGCCCAAAAAACGCCAAACTCCAATGTGTATTTCAAAACAAATGACCAATGTGTCAACCGTTTTGTGTATCTTCATGAAAGTAGGATCAAACCTTATATTGTATTGACATCACAACACAGAGTGTTTTTTCATCTTAATACTTAAATCCTAAATATTTGCCCCACCAAATCTATGCATCGCCATCCTATACATCAAGGGGAACTTAAAAGGTTTAAAATATTTCTGAAAACTGATTTAATGTCATCCAACTAGAAGCATAAATGGTCCAAAATATGCATCAAGGGCCATTTGTTTCGAAATGCAACATCGCACTTTGGTATTCTCTTTGAAGTGCAAAGAGAACACCAAACTCCAATGTTGCATTTATTCATTGTCACCATCCTATACATCAATGGGGGAACTTAAAGAAATTTAAAGCAAGTTTATTTGCTGATCATGCAATAAATTTAAGCAACCATGATAGCTTAATGATTCAAAAATGAGTCATTTATGGATTTGCAAATTCATCATCAAATCATCGATAGAACTTACCTTAAATGCATTAAAAAACTAAATTGGACGTCAATAATGCAAATAGTTGACACAAATAGAATGGGAAGGCTAGTAAAAAAATTTGATCCATCAATAATTCAAAATTTCAACATCAAACTTCCAGTTCCAGGCAAAAGCAAGTTCAAATCTTATTATACAAAACATAAAGGAAATTACCTGCTCGAGCGTACCGTCTGATCAAAATCACAAAGGTGTTGACGGAAACCAAATTGGAACCCTCCCTCCCCCCATCATCACCAATCCGATCAAGAACCAAACTCCAGGCCTCCTCAAAGCTCCTAGATTTACCAAGAACATTGACCATTGAGTCGAACAACGTATCAGAAGATTCAAACCCAGGTCTCTTTTCAGCCCAAAGAAATAAACCATGCAACAACCTTGGAGAAGAATCGAAGCGTAGGAATATTGCTTGGAGCATGTCGGGATCTGGGTCTACCTGGGTTTTGTCAAGGGCGGAGTGGAGAGAAGAGGAGAAGGTAATGGTCGGGTCTGAGAGGAGATTGGCGATGATGGAAAATTTGGCATTGGTAAAGGAAGAAGATGAATAATTGATTGGAGGATTTTGATTTGTGGAAAACCATGATTGATCGGAGAAGAATAGCTTCGGGAGACGATGAGCATTTAGACGAAGGAAATGGCGTTGCTGCTGAAAGAGAGTCTTCATTACTCTTTTTGCTTAAGAATTCAAGAGGTTCTAGGTGGGTTTTAATGGTTGCATTATACCCAAAGAATTTGGAGATTTTTTTTTTTTTTTTTTAGAGAAAATATCCTCATTGACCAAAAATATCTTATAATATACGATTTTAATTAATTTTTTTTGAATTTATCAAAATGACCAACTAAATCGTAATACGATCGATAATTCGCAACGCGATCTCCAGTATCGCAAATCAGTTTCCAGATTCGCAACGCGAACTTGAACTATCGCAATGCGAATATGTAAATCGCAATGCGATAGTCGACTATCGCAATGCGAACTTGGACTATCGCAATGCGAATATGTAAATCGCAATGCGATAGTCCAAGTTCGCATTGCGATAGTCGACTATCGCATTGCGATTTATTCCAAATTCGCAACGACTGCATTTGTTTTTAAGAATTTTCTCTAAAAAGATAGTATTCGCGCGGACGTGTCGAAGACACGACCACGACCCGAGACGAGACGAGACGGACGGCGGCGGCGGCGGCGCGCGAGAGTCCTCCTTGTTCTCTATCACTCAACAAGGAAGTGGGAAAGCCAAGCCTTAAATACAATTCCCAATAGTGTTTCCAATACTATGTGGGATTGAGCATTACCAATACTTGTTTCCAATACAATGTGATTATTCAGGAAACAATTAACAATCATGCACCTTAAAACAACTGAATCAGAAACCAATTGCACTAGTATTATACGATTAAATATGTCATAATTAAAAGTCAATCTACAATCAATCGCGATTATTGCAATTTTAAGCAAAACATTCAAAAATAATATCATTATTTAAGGCTCAATCCCACATAGTATTGGGAACAAGTGTTGGTAATGCTCAATCCCACATAGTATTGGAAACACTATTGGGAATGGTATTTAAGGCTTGACTTTCCCACTTCCTTGTTGAGTGATAGAGAACAAGGGGGACTCTCGCGCGCCGCCGTCCGTCTCGTCTCGGGTCAGGTCGGGTCGTGGTAATACGTGTCTTCGACACGTTCGCGCGAATACTATCTTTTTAGAGAAAATTCTTAAGAAACAAATCGCAACGAATTTGAAATAAATCGCAACGCGAACTTGGATTATCGCAATGCGATAGTCGAAGTTCGCGTTGCGAATCTGGAAACTGGTTTGCGAACTTGGACTATTGCGTTGCGAATTATCGATCGCATTACGATTTAGTTGGTCATTTTGGCAAATCTAAAAAAAGTTGGTTAAAATCGTATATTATAAAGTATTTTTGGTCACTGAGGTTATTTTCTCTTTTTTTTAAGCCTATCAAGTATATTTAGGAATTCAAATTTAATGAATTTTTATTTAATTTGATTTAATTAAATTAGAAATCTAATTAAAATGACGAGAATGTCATTATCTTCAAATTATTAAGTAATGAATAATTTTTACCATTTTGAATTTTTATATGAATCCTTCTCGACCTTATTTTTCGTGTTTTATTAGAATTATAAGCTTAATAATAATACATAAAGAATTTAATTTAATAAAATATTAATAAATTTAATTAGTTAAAAATATTTTATTATTTTATGAGATGAAAATATTATTATTATAAAAATATAATTATTTAAAATAATTTCTAATTTTATGTTATTAAAAATATATTTTATACATTAAAAAAAGTAATATATTTGTTCATTTGATACCACAATATTATTTTTCATATCAAATTATATTTTATATAAATAAATTTTTGGCTCTTACCTTTTTCTAAGCTTCCACTACCCATAAAGCGTCTGACTCAACTACCAGCCTTCTTGCCCCTAGAGTTTTTGCGAGGACTAGCCCTTGACGGATACCCCAAATCTCAGCCATCGTATTGGAGGTTCTCCCAATATTTATCATGAATCCCTTGATCCATCTGTCCTCATCGTCCCTTAGTAGACCTCTTGCACCAACGATGCCCATGTTCGATATGCAAGTTCCGTCCGTGTTCAATTTCCAAGCACCTCTCAGTGGTCTCTTCCAGCTAAACCAGTGAGGGTCTTTAGTTATTCTTGTATGTGTGGTTTCCATTGCTTTTTTATTATCTCTTGCCAGGTTACTGCTATAGATGAGAATTTGTTTTGGTTGTCTGTTGGTGTTCTTGAATGATATAACCTTATTTCTGAATTTTCAAAAACCCCAAATGATTGCTGAGAAAATGGATCCCCATTCGGTTCCCTCTGTGTTAACTTTCCTCGATCTGCAATTGTTTTCAATCCACTTCTCAAACTCTTGGAATAGAAATTCCTTGTCAAATTGATCTGCTTTGGCTTCTTTTCACACTCTTAGCAATCTTGCATATTCTCGAGAAATGGTATGGATTGAAGTTTTGATTTCATCATAACATTCTTTACAATTCGAATATTTAGTCATGTTCTTTTTTACCCTTACCTCATTAGTATTCAATTTATTTAAGCAGCACAACCATATAAATATCCTTACACGTTCGGTTGAGTTCACCTTTCAAATCCACTCAAATTTTTGGTTTTGTGAACTTTGTTGTGACTTGCTTTGGATTGCTTTGAATGTTGACTTGACCGAGAACTTGTCATCCTTAACAAGACCCCAACTTATAGAATCTGGTTGGATATTCTCTAAAACAGGTGAGGGTATGCTTCTGATCTGTTCAATAGTGTCCCCTGAAACAAACTTTTGAAGCTCTTAGATGTTTCATGTGTTATCTTCTATGATGAAATTTGCAACTTTTTTAGTATTATAGATAGCACGCTCCAAGTAATCTTTCACTAGGGAAGCTTTACCAACCCACCAATCTTGTCAAAATCTTATATTCTCACCATTTCGAATTATGAACTTGCAACCTTGTTTGATAGTTTTACGAGTCTTCAATATTCTCTTCCATGTTGAGGAGCTGCTTGCATAGGTATTAGCTTCCATAAATTTTTTCTGTCTTAAATACTTTTCTCTGAATATTCTACACCATAATTGTCCTTTTCGTTTAGCATTCGCCACCCAATTTTAGCCATAAGAGCCATGTTCATATCTTTCATTTTCCTTATGCCCAGGCGTCCTTCTGCTTTTGATCTGCAAACGATCTCCCAATTTACTAAATGTTTATGGGAGTAATCGGTACCTCCACCCAATAAAAAATTCCTGTTGAGGTTGTCCAGTCTGTTGCTAGTGGCCGTAGGAAGAATTGTAGTTTGCATAATATATACTAGAATAGTTGTCACAGATTAAATTAAGGTTTTTCGGCAAGCCATTGATAGGACTTTCCCTTTCCAACCTGTAAGTTTTTCCTTACTTTTACAATCAAGGGGGCATACGTATTTGCAGTAGTACATTTATGTAAAATGGGGACTCCCAGTAAATGCCCAAGTTGTCTGTAAAGAGAATCTCGCTTATTTGGCTCAAGTGTGTTGCGATAGAGCTACTAATATTAGGCGAGATGAACATCTTCAATTTCTAGATATTTATTACTAATCCCAAGGCATTGCTGAAAGTCCTAAAGCAGTCCTTAACAACACTTACTTGCTCCGCTGAAGCTTCAAGGAATATCAGAAGAACATCTGCAAAAAATAGATATGACTAACATTAATTCTTCCTCTCGCTAGTTTAATCAGTTTCTATTTTTTACTTTCCGCCTTTTCGGGGGTTCCTTTGGAAGATGTTCTATGTCCACTTTGTCAAAAGAATGAAGAAACAGTCCAACATCTTTTCATCTCGTGCTCAGTTGCAGGGGAACTTTGGAACAGATTTTTCAAGCTGTGGGACATATATACAGCTTTGCCTCATGATCCCCAGATTTTGCTAAGTTCTTAGTCTAAATTAAGGTCTAATTCGTACATATGAAAATTTATCCCGGGAGTGATTCTTTGGTCTATCTGGAAAGCTAGGAATTCAATTGTTTTTTATAATATGAGTCTTGATAGAGTCTCTCTCTTCTTCATAACCAGATTTAGGTTGGCTAAATGGTTTCTAGCTAAGTTCCCCCAAGTTCAAATACAAGTTGATTTGTTGGTAGTCTTGCAGATAGGCTTCCTTGTCAGCATATTCACAGAAGGATGGTGCAAAGCTAGCTTCCTCCCCCAACAGATTTTTACAAATTTAATGTTGATGGGGCTGTCAGGTTTGATGGGATGCTGGTGGAATTGGAGGTATTTTGAGAGATTGTAATAGCCTAACTTTGACGACTTTATCTATTAGTGTTGGCCCTGGCCCTCCTCATTTGGCTGAGTTGAAAGGCATTAAAAAGGCATTGACACTTTTTTATCCTCTTATTGGGTTTTGAAGGGAAGACTAATTTTAGAGAGTGATTGTAAATATGTAGTTGATTGGATTTTGTTGTCGAATTCTGCTCCTACATTCTTCAGTTCCATTGTTAGGGATATTGTGTCCTTAGTTTTAGAGAGGGCGGTTATTGTTAGATTGATTCCTAGGGGTTGTATTTGGGAGGCTGATAAATTAGCTAAGGAGGGGATCAGTTGATTGTAAGGGTTTTTTTTCTAGGGAGCTTTATTGGTATTTGTTTTATATGTTGCCCTAGGTGTATTGGTGTACTTTAACGTAAATGTTCTCTATTTAATAAATTGAGGCACTCTTTTCCTCTTTCCGCTAGTTGCTCTTTTATAGAGTCAACTAAGGAGGTTTTTAATGAGGTTTCCCATTCCTATAAAAAAAATTCCACCTTTTTCTAGAAACATATTGATAAACATTCCGTAACCAAAATAAAGAGATAGGATGATAAGGGATCTCCCTGTTGGAGTCTTTGATTCGGTTTCACATTGTTAGTTTTTTCTTCATTCCATAAGGGTTCGATGGTGTTGGATATGATGCAAAACATAATAATAGCGATAGTCTCGCCAGGGAATTTGAAGTCTTTTAATGTTTCTTGTAAGAACAACCAATTAACTTTTTTGTAGGCCTTTTGTAGGTCAATTTTCATAATTGCTGCTCTTTTACGACCCTGGAGGTTCATAAGAGTGTGAACGACTTCTTGCACGACAATTATATTATCGGCTGCATTTTTTTTTGGAGAA